TGATGATAATTTGAAATATCTGAATGTCAATGTATGATTTGTTGTGTAAAGGTGCCTCAATTCACACTCCTGTCTCTCTCCTGTCTCTGTCCTCCTCAGGTCAGCCCGTTGTTCCAGAAACTAGAGGAAGATCAGATCGAGGCTCTGAACAAGAGGTTCGGAGGACAACATGTCAGTACAGTGGTAAAGGTTATGATAAAGGTTTTAAGGCTAAATGCTGTAAATGAGAAACCAGTAGTGAAAGAATAGTGAAAGGAGCATTCAGTTGAAGCAAAAAGAGTGCTTATACAATTCCATTGTAAAAACAGAGGGCAAAACACAGCAGGTGCACTTGTAGGATTATATTGTACAGTATGTGAATGGTGTTGGTTTTATTCCCGCCAACGGTACCCAACTTGGTTACAAATGCACAGAAAGTGCTTAATAGTTGAAATAACAAAGAGCCATTTTGTGCTGTGCCAATAGCGTAGTTACTGTCTCAGCAGGCAAATTACTGTTTAAAAAAGGGTATGTGTAGGTTGGCACACCTTGTATAGGTTCAGGTATGCAGAGAAAAAAACTTGATGAACACGGGGCATACTGGCATCATGTTATTTTTTTTATTTTATTTTTACGGATCGTTACCTTGATATTTCATCAGGTAGGTAATATTGTAACCAAACTGCAATATTGTTCAGTGACATTGTTCAGCTACAGTGCGGCTCTCTGAATAGCTTAGTATCTTCTAAGGCTAAATGCTATTGAAAAATGGGTATGTTAGCACACTTTGTATAGGTTTAGGTGCATATATCTAAATCCTCTCCTCCTCAATCCCTCCTCAAAACCAAGTGGCGGGGCACCCGTTTTGTTGTGTTTTAAATTAAGGAGTGGGCCTTTCAATCGAAATATTGTCGTCAATCCCTCCTTCCAGCCAGAGGAGGAAGAAGAAACCAAACAGAAAAAGGTATCACATGCTGTGTGTTCTGTATGGAGTGATATTAGTGCCAAATTCAAAATCAAATTCACATAAAATTTCTGTTGCCACAATTATCACTCCATAGTGGTGTTCCATTCATATGTTGCCAAAATGTCTTCACTATTGCACACTAACTCACACAAAAAAATACAATTGTGATCAGAAAAAAGGAAAAATAAAAATGTTTGTGTTTTATTTCATTCATTCATTTTTGAGTGCATTCTATTTTTGTTTTTCATCATAACTCATAACATTGTGTGATGAATTTATGACTAACAAGTACTGAGAATGAAAGTTACTGAGAGTGAAATGTGATAGTGTAATCCCGAGATTGTTGGAGAAAAATTGCTTATAAAATCTGAAATCTGTTTTTACATTCCAGCCCAAATCAACCGCCCAGACTAATGCCAACGCCCAGCCTGCCCCAGTTTCAGCTACAGCCCCTGCTGCTGTGGCTGCTGTGAATGGAGCCGACCCTGAGAGAGCCAAGGAGCTAACACTGGCTGTGGCAGAACAGGTAAGATGGTGGATGGATGGGTGTAGTGAATTAAGGGTGACACAATGAACTTAAAGGAGCAATCAGCTGTTGAAACAATGAAAAAGTGTCTCCGCCACTGTTTCAGTAAAAAGCTGAGGGATGCGGCTGGAGAAATGTAACCACTCTCAAATTCATAGACCGAGCTATGGATGCAAGGCCCCATGATATCAACATTATAGTTTTAACAGTGTTTGTTTACATTTACTTTGATTACAAACATTGGAGTAAAACAAGCTTATATTTTGGGTTCTGATGGGGTACGACAGTTGAACTAAGCTCATAAGGCATTATAAGTTATATTCTTCAAGAATGAATGGGTACATATCATTAATTTATAAAATCTAAAAATAGATGTAGAAGTTGCAGATTGCCTCTTTAAACAATGAAACAATCGTTCCCTAAGATAGATACATGGTACATGATTTTCTTCCAAAATGTAATGTTCGTATGACGTCCTAATATTGGAAAATGTTACGAATATCGGAAGCACAATGTCTCGTGAATGGTTCCCGATGTTTGCGTGACCTCCCGATCAAATATCAAAACACGTTTGATCTTTTTTTCTCCCTGACGACTGTCTAACAAAACCTCTTTCTTTTCTACTCTCTTTGCTCCAGGGGGAGAAGGCTGTGATTGGAGCGGAGGTCACCAAACTACTGGTACTGAATAAACGGCTATCCCTGTCCGAGGGAAAGAACCCAGAACCAGCCCCCACAAAAGGCAAGAAGTGAAAGAAGGAAAGACAGACAGACAGACAGACAGACAGACAGACAGACAGACAGACAGACAGACAGACAGACAGACAGACAGACAGACAGACAGACAGACAGACAGACAGACAGACAGACGGACGGTCTTGATGAGGCAGGAAAAAGATAAGAGTAGAGGGAAGTAAGATTTGAATAATTACCTTAATGGAGAATGGGATCAAGATATGCACTAAGAAAGAAATATGAGAGTAACTTCTGTAAGACAAGTCTATGACTGGATGAAAGACGATGGGATGTTGGCTATGAGGCAAATGGGGGAATTGAAATGGTGTTGGCGATAAGGACAGATCAATAGGAAAGATCAGTAAGCAAAGACAGGGATATTGAAAACTGTTACAACATATTCTGATATACTGTATATCAGAATATTTATACATGTCTGTTCTTAAAGTAGAAGGTTCTAGTAGCCTGGTAGAAACCAGCCTGACAGCTGCCGACCTTCACCATTCTGTTTTACTGCACCACATCCATTGTGACGTGAAATAAAATGGTGAAGGCAGCGATCAGGCTGATTCCACCAGGCTAAGGTTCTAGAATCTAGTTTCACTATGCAGAAATCAGAACAGGTCAGAACAGATCAATGTCAGGTTTGGGTAGATGTTTAATAATATTATTATATTGTTATATTATTTAAAAAATATATATATCCCCCTTACCTATTTATTCAATCAAATACATAACATTTGCTACAAGTAACTTTTGAAAATGAATTCAGAAACTCAGAGGCCAAGCTGGAATTGTCTTTTTTTCGATTTGTCATTTTCTAAGCATTCGTTTGGACCTAAATATATACGCATCTCACTTTTCTCTCTCTTGTCAACTGACTGGAGTACGTTCAAATAAGCGTTTCAAGACACTGAAATTGTTTTAAGGATTTATTAGCAAATGTGAGCATACAATAAAGTAAATACAATACAATGTTAATAACAGAAATAAACTAATTCAACCACTAATTGATACATATTTTTATAACAAAATGACAAATGAATATGGATACAGTAAAGGGTGTATATATTACAGTATAACTAGGTATAATACAGGGTTATATCAAATATATAGGTGAATCAGGGTAGATCTACATTGTAAATATTACTACCTCCAAATTCAGTCAATTTGATAGAAAAAGGTCAGCATAGAAAGAAGAATAACTGGGTCCTAGGTGTAAAACTATCCATACACACTAAAGTTACAGTGGGTTATACGAAAGTAGAAATTGAAAAACTACCAATCATCATTCTCACATTACTCACACTGCACTGAGTACTGACAAAACTTTCCTGAGCTCCATATTTCCTCATAAACTGGGCAAGAAATATTATCTCTGCTGGCCTCTGTTCAGCCCTTAGGATTCATCTTAGAGTTTAGAGGTTGGCAGATAAGGGATAGCCTGGGAGCCAAATTGATTTAGCTACGTTTCATTGTTGTTTTATTGGGAAACGCACAGCATTTAGTCTGATTTAACCAGGCTAGATAAAGGATGGGGTGACAATGAAATGCACTCTCCGCGTTTCCGTTCCACACACTACCTACATACTAGTGATGAGTCCAACTAAGTTTTTCAGAATCTATTCATTGATGGTTGCTAGGGCAGATTAGTCAATAAAACTCCTAGCAATGGTAAATATCACCTTTATGTGATTAGTCAATTCTATAGTCAAACGTATCCCTATTTCATACAAATCCCTTCATTGAATGAGCTAAACCACGCCCAATCAGTCACATTCATTATGGCATGCAACGGAAAATGTAATTGAGCGTTTGTTGATGAACAAGCCCAAGTTGGTCTTCCGTTTGGTGCCTAATGAACACGACCCATGCAATGCTTGTGATGGGTGTTGGTTAACAATTTTCATAGATAGATGCTTCCAATCAATTCCTTAATTTTGGAATCGACGCGGGTGCCCTCAATCAATCAATTGAATCTAACTCATCATCCCTACTTCATACTGAACACTTCACTAGGTTGGATAAGCGAAAAATGCCATAATCAGGATCGTGTTCATCATGGCATGCAACGAAAACGTTTTAAAGCGTTTTGCAACAGAAAACCTCTATCAGCATTTCTTATTGGATGAGTCCAGGTAGTCCCACCTTCTCTTTCCATTTGATGCCTAATGAACAAGACCCATGCAATGCTTCCGATCAATTCCTTTATTTTGGAATCGATGCCCTCAATCAATTCATTGAATCTAACTCATCCCTACTTCAAACTGAACACTTCAGTAGACTGAATGAGCTACACAATCATACAATGCTTGTGATGGGCGCTAACTGCTACCTATCTAGTTCAAAGATGCTTCCTGACATCCAGCCCTACATACATACAGTACACTGTAACGTGTCAACAGAGGCATTGCATGATCCACCTGCCATTTCAACCGTTTCCTCCATTTCCTTTACATGCTGTCTATCTCTCTCTCTCTCTCTCTACATTTGCCGCAATGCTGCAGTTCCTTCTCTCCATGGTTTTCCTTTGACTTGCTCTTTCATCTTTCTTTCTTTCTAACTTTCCTTCTTTCTCTCTCATAGTTTTGAAGAAAATGATCATTTAAGTTTCTTCTCGAAACACGTACGTATCTTTTGGTTTCTTTCTAACTCTCGTCTAGAAATGCATTTCATAGTCACCCCAATGTTCACCCTTCACCGCGAACCGGCTAATCCAAATGTTTATGTTCTGCCTTGTTACTTCCTTCATCCCTCTACCTCTCATCCCTCTCTCCTCTTTTCTTTTCTTCCTTCACTTCTTGGTGTTAACTAGTCTCTCTATCAGGGCTCTGCGTGTCCTCTGCACCTCCTCTCCCAGTCTGTCGATCTCCGCTTTCAACCTCTCGTTCTGATCCGTCAGCTCCTGCACCTTCCTCTCATTCTCCTGCTCCCGCTCTCTCCTGCTCTTCTTCGCAGAAGAGGAAGAGGAGGATGAGTGCGAACCTGAGGAAGGGAAGGACAGAGAGTTGCCTCTCTTGCGTTTGCCCGGCCGAGACAATGAGGAAGCGGTGCTAGTAGGAGAGGAGACGGGGGAGGAAGGAGGAGAGCAGTTGAGAGAGGGGGAAGGAGAGGCGGCGGAGGAGGAATAGGAGGGAGAGTCGGGGACACATGGTTGTTCCTCCTCCTCGCTAGTGGAGGGAGACGCAGGCGGTTGGACGTTGTTGGAGTGATGATGATGATGGTAGCTACCGTCCACCATGCCCACCCCTCCCTCACTCAGCAGCTCAAAGAACTCTGGGGGTAACAGGTCCACTCCTCCCGACCCTCCCTCTCCATCCCTCCCTCCATCTCCGTCCCCAGGCCTCTCCGTCCTCTCCTCGGCTGGACTCCGACACAAGGAGTTGGAGGAGGGGGGCGGATGGGTAGGAGGCTCCTCTGGAATCATGACCCTCTGGACACCCTCTCCTCCGCCCCACGCCTGCCCTCCGACCCCCACCCCAACCCCGTCCGTCAGCCATGTCAGGGAACAGCTCTCCAGGACATCCAGGAACTCCGTCTCTTTCTATGAAGAGAGGAGAGAGAAGAGAAAGGGAAGGAAGAGCGAAAGAAATAAAGAAGAGAATAAAAAAACGCTTCTTACATCAGCACTGTTGAAAGAGTTGCATCATGAAGAAGAGAAGATGAAACAAAATGTTCGGGTTAACCAACAACTGATAAAAAGACAACACACATCAAGACGATCATCGATCACATCGTAAATAAATAAATCAATATTTTTAAAAAAATATATACTAATTATAATCCCAACTGACCTCTGAGCAGGGAGGGGCGCGAGTCATCTTGGCCCCGCCCGTGTCTGATCCCAGTATATCCTGCAGGTCCTCATACCACGCCTCCAACTCTGCACCACACAGCGGTCCCACACCAGGGGGGTACGGAGGGGGCAGGTGAAGCCACTCGGCAGTCATCTCTCTGTCACTCAGTCGCACAGATAGTCTTCCACAGCCACACGCTGGTACACACTGGACCTGGACTGGTGGTGGAGAAAGAAGGAGTCGGTTTTAAAATAATGTCGAGACAGGAGGGTTCGGTTTTAGAATGATTAAATAATTATTTAATATAGCATCTTCAGTATGAACCGTTATATGGTTTCTATACAGTAGGCTAGACATCGGGATCGACATGCATATTACCAAGAAAGGTATATGTGAGAGAGCTGTGCAATAGAACCGGCTACGTTAGCATGTTGTTTCTAATTATCAATTGTCAATTATCAATCGAACAAAGTACCGGTATTATGATTTTTTTTTTAAATGTATGCACTCACTAACTGTAAGTCGCTCTGGATAAGAGAGTCTGCTAAATGACTAAAATGTAAATGTAATTATAATTTCTATATTTAGTGAAAAAAATCCACTTTTCATTCAATTGTAAAATAGTGACACTCTGTGGACAAATGGGTGTACTGCATGAATGATAATCGGATTCTATAGCCAAAAACATGAGATGTAGTGATGACTAAAATTCAAACATGATCAAGTTAAAATCTACAAAAGAAATGCATTGATATAATATAAATATGATGAGGTTAACTTGACATCCATAGACAAAACATCCAACACTCAGTAAAAACAACACAGAAATCTAAAGAATTAATGAGGAAATGCAATTCACCTTTTGAAAGTCTCTTATAATCAAGTCTGGCAATTGGTTGTTGGTGATAATTTGTCCCAACAAGTCTAGAAAGAAATAAGTCATTACATTAATTATTGCCAATTATTGTAACAAATATGTAATACAGTGTGATGAGATGTTAGAATTTTCTTAAAGGAACATACATGTATATTGTATAACAGCAGACATAGAGATGTCTACTCAAATTAAAGCTGATGCACTCAACTTGATAAACAACCTGCTGACAATACATTCATAAAAAGGTTGAATAGGCCTATACAAATGATTTTCTATAAATAAAACGAATACAATAATTTGACAAACTACTGTACATGTTCTGATTATATTTTTTAGGGAAAATCACAACAAAATCAGGTCATTGATTTGCCTCATGTAAACAAAGACTCCGTAGGTGCTCTAGGGTGCCCTCTGTCTGTCAAGGTCCACAATTAATTATATTTATATCAAAACATAATTCCTTGAGTTCGATTTACACTAGCTCATGAAAAATAAAATGTATAATTCGACATCCAATTTTCCGAATAGCAATTATTTGGTCTAAAAATACAGTTTTATCCTTAATATTGAATAGGTCAAGATACTTTGAAACCACTTGCTGAACACAGGAAATACCTGGCTGTCTGACCACAATAACAGACATCGAGCATAGTGGTTATTGTGGTCAGAGCAGCTGGTTTTAAAGTACCTTTAACTCTGCCAATAAATGCAGCCCAATTCTTGACAAATATTTTATGATCCGTATCTATTTATTCTTTAATGTATTGTCTGACATTTATGCAACTGTAGGCTAAATGTTTTTTCTCGGATGTGGTCTCAGCTCGCTCTCCATCCAGCCAAGCCAAGGCATTACGTCATGGAATCAAAGTACGGGCCGGGTGAAACAAAAGCCAGGGTGAAAACTGACACCTCCAATGGGTACAGAAGACTGGGATGGGAACACAAAGCTTTTCTATTCTATTCTACAGGAAAATCAATTAACTCAAAATAGCAAGACGTGCGATCTTATTCTTCTTTGTCAATGCAGAGATCTGTTTATTTTTTATTTATTTAATAGGCTATTAACGTAGCACATAGCTTATATACTATCTGGATACATGACATCCTATATATTTATCAAACAAATACTTTTGTTTTCGATAACAGTAGCCTAAATTATAAGTTCATAAACCCGAAACAAAAGTTTGCAAAACGTTATGTACGCGTTTGACAGCCCAGCTGTCACCTGATATCAAACTTCCCAGAGAGATAAACCTCGTGGTAGAGAGAACGCAACTTGGGATCAAACTCAAATAAGAAGATAAATGCCTCCCTGAATCTTGCATAAAAATATAACCACTGTCAATTATAATTAAACTAGGCAACTGCTCTCGTATAACAGACATGGGAAAGTTGCCAAAACATGCACATTCTTTCTAAAGGAAAGCCAGAGACGATCAGCTGCCAAATTAAAAAAGGCAATCAAATAAAATCCACTTACCCTTTTTCTTTTATTATTTCGCTTTCTTGACTGTCTTGGATTCGGAGTATGTATATATTTTAGTTGAGATTGGTGATAGCTCATGTTAACCATTGTTCGGCTTAGTATAGTGAATGTGATTTTTGGAAACTCGCGGTGGTCTTTATATAAGGTGAGCCAACCGAACTCTGTGGAGATTTTTTTTTACACAACCTAACTATTACCATAAACTGACGATGAAATTACTCACATCCAGATGGTCCAATCATAATCTACGCGCTAAAATATTTTGCTTGGTGACATCCAATCTAAGTATCTTTCTACAGGAAAGGCGGTCTTTAAAGTGCCATTGCTAGTTGTCTCCATTTGGGTAGTTTATGTGACCTGAAGATGTGATGCAGTCATAAGACTGCCAGGACGAATTTGGGGCGTATGAGAGTCACATGAAAGGAATGATGCAATGCTTGGCAACACATTTCTAGTCAGTGATAAGACCGGGAGAACCAGAGCATGTTTTATTTAAGTCTCTCTCTGGCTCTAACAAAAATCAAAAAATACACTTATGCAATAATATTTTAGAATGTCTAAGCAAAGTGTTTCTCACACATATTACACTACAGGCTATTTGTCATTTCTGTTCAGTTATATAGGCTAGTGAAAAGAATAAAAAAAAGTAAGTCCGTTTGGAATAATAGCTTATTTTCTATGTAAATCCAATAATTGTGTGGTTTTTATTTTCCATTTTTGAAATAGGTTTGATCCCATAATTGTCTGGTAGCTCTATTGTGTCTTTATTTTGGGGGACCGATCGTTTTCTTTACTCGCGTGAGGGCCACATTGTACAGTAGGCCTATAATCAAGTCTGTGAGTGTGTCATAATAATATAATATGCCATTTAGCAGACGCTTTTATCCAAAGCGACTTACAGTCATGCGTGCATACATTTTTTTGTATGGGTGGTCCCGGGGATCGAACCCACTACCTTGGCGTTACAAGCGCCGTGCTCTACCAGCTGAGCTACAGAGGACCACATGTTATTCGAATGCTTTGAAGTTCGACTGCTATCTCCCAACTGTAGCTCTGTCTGTGTAAATACTGTTGTTTCTCAACAGTATGCAACAATTCAACTTCAACATCTTTTTTTCTCAAAGGAAACAATGCAATATAGCCTATTTATTGCAATAGGTGACAGCCTATAATAATTACCTTTTTGTTTGTTTTCGTTTATTGCACGTTTATTCTAAAGGAATATCATGTTATTCGGATATTAATTTCAGAAATGTCATTTATTGGAGTGCGCGCGCTATCAAAACAACATCACCACGCTCCGATTCAGCGTGTCTAGAGATTGGGCGTTCCCCAAAACTCCTCTACCGCATAGCTTCGAGGATGATCGGTGAACAGGCTACAAGTGTACATGATAAAATATAATAACACGTTCATATTTAACGTTAACTGTTTAAAGTCAATATCTACATTCTCATTATAATAAATAATCATTAACTTCTTATTCTATTTCACGTGTCATTTCGTATTTTGACACTTCACGGTAAATATTGAAACTCCAACGGACAGAGATAACTGTTTAAAGCCATGTTTATCAGCCTAGCAACAGCAAGCCTAGCAACAGCGCCAAGTGGGATGAGACGCGTCGCGTGCGTGAGTAGCGAATAGAAAGCTCAACGTGCTGTCTCCAGGTCCAGGGTTAAAGCGTGCGAGAAGCCTTGGTTACCACGTCACGACTTGAGGGGCTGTTGCTGAGTAGTTGAGCGGAATACTTTCTCTGTCTAATGTTTATTGAGTCCCGTGGTGTCGTGTATATTGTATGAATTAGTGGGGTAAAGGACACAGGGTTGTTGCCACATTATTTGCACCGGCTGGGTTTTTGTTATGATCATCTGGGATGGAATGGGCAGGGCAGCAACAGTGTTTTTAAAAGCAAAACACAAGTTTAGGCTACACCACAATGTTATTCCCTAAACCTATCTAATTTCTTAGTTCGATAATTAGAATAATATATGTAATTCTCAAAGTCATAGGCCTAATAACAACTCAATAATTACATTTACATTTTAGTCATTTAGCAGACGCTCTTATCCAGAGCGACTTACAGGAGCAATTAGGGTTAAGTGCCTTGCTTAAGGGCACATCGACAGATTTTTCACCTAGTCGGCTCGGGGATTAGAACCAGCGACCTTTCGGTTACTGGCACAACGCTCTTACCCACTAAGCTACCTGCCGCCCCTAACATTGCTACTAAGGTGCTTTACATACAAAGACAAAAAGAAAACAAAGCTGGAAAATGTAATTCACAAGAGAATCAAAAGGTGGTATGGATTAGAGAAATCAATCAACTACAAAATTGTACTAATAAACATAGGAGCTTTTTCGTTTGAATATCTGGTATTTTGTGGGCTAGTGTGTTTATTTTCTAAGAGGATTTCTATAGCTACATGGATGTGTCATTAGCCTCTACCAAGTCCTTTCTTATTATACCTCAGCGGCCGGATGTTCCGGTTTTCAGTGGAAATGGAAAGAGCCTGTGACATGACTTCCGCGTTTGGACATTAACAAGGTGACAACACTGAGGTATAATAATGCCACGTTCAAGTTCTAGTCGGAACTAGGAAACCCAGAAATGTCCGACTTGCTAACAGGTTGAACGCAGCACGTGTATAACTACAACCATTTAGCAAGTCGGAAATTTCAGAGTTCCGACTAGTACACGAACATAGCATAAGAATAGGGCGACACCTATAGAGCCCCACAGTGGGGTGTCATAATACCCATAAAACCTAGCGGTCATACAGAGAAATG